GAAAAATTAAAACGTGTCCCTTTAATTAAAAAAAATTCTCAAATATTCTAACGTCTATCTTCATTTTTTTTGGATTTATATAAATGTATTATAATGGGCTGGAGGTATAGCTCAGTTGGTAGAGTGCTTGCTTTGCAAACACAAGGCCCAGGGTTCAATCTCCAGTAAAACACACACACACACACACACACACACACACACACACACACACAGTATTGTAAAATGTATTGCAAATAATACAAATGAAAGATAGGATGTTTAATTCGGAATAGTGTTACACCTCATGCACTCTTCAAATCTTATTTATCCTGAAGATATTTACCCAGTGTCTCCAGTTATCTCTAGTTGAACCACATAGTGAAAATGCTTCTAGGAAACTCTCACTCAGATCTCATTTACTTCTAATTCAGACATTGCTCACAGGCATTGGGGTTTCCTAGCCTGACGATTAGAAGCAACAAATTAAAAACAAAGATAAAGAGCCACTATACAGAAAGGCTGACAGTTTCAAGAAGTGACAGCTTTTAGTGGAAAGTTGTTATATTAAAAATGGTAAAGGGAAAGCAAACCTATAAAAACAGGCAAAATTTTAAGCATTATTAGAAATTCTTGTGTTTAGTTCATTATACCCCATGAATATTCGGATCATCCGTATTATAAATCCCAGCATGGTAGTTGATTATGTAGTAAACCTGAGAATTAGTAGTAGATTTTGTGTGTGTGTGTGTGTGTGTGTGTGTCTCCTCATTGAATTCAGGGATTTTTTTTTTTTTTTAATATCAATGAGCCACATCTCCAGCCCTTTTTATTTTTTTATACTACGTTAAGGACGCCTCTGGCTCCACATGGTATTAGAACTTTATTCATCATTTATTGCAGCTGCATCCTTTTTTTAAAAAAAAAATATTTATTTATTTATTTTAGTTTTCGGCGAACACATCTTTCTTTGTATATGGTGCTGAGGATCGAACCTGGGCCGCACGCATGCCAGGCGAGMGCGCTACCGCTTGAGCCACATCCCCAGCCCCGCAGCTGCATCCTTGTAGATTAACATGAGTGGGAGCTAAGTTTACAACACTGAGACACATATCCATAAATTGTCAGATAAGTGATGTTAGAAAATAAAGTTTATTGACTTCTTACATACATTTTTTGGATATTTCATGGAGAAATAGTGAAAGTTATTTGTTTCAGGATTCTCACTTTAAAAACAATAGCTGGACATAGTGGTGTATGCCTGTAATTCCAGTGATTTGGGAGACTGAGGCAGGATTGCAAGTTCCAGGCCAGCCTCAGCAATTTGGTGAAGTCCTAAACAATTTAGTGAGACCCTGTCTCAAAATAGAAATAGAAAGAACTATGAATGTGGCTCAGTGATAAAGTTCCCCTGGGTTTAATCCCTAGTACCAAAACCAAACCAAAACAAAACCTAACAAAAAATAATAAAAGACAAACTGTCATTAGCATATGCAAAGTAAATGGAATTAATGCTTACACTTAGAGAAGAATGCCAGGAATCTCCAATCAAAAAGAAATATACAAATTCTGATCTATGAGTTTTATATCTGATATTTATAGCCTGATGTTTGAAGTCTTCAAATTTCAGTTTCTTCACCCTTTTTGAAGTGCTTATTTTAAAAGATAGAAGCTGAGCATGGTGGCCCAAGCCTGTGCCCCTTGCCAAGAYGGGAGGATCCCTTGAACCCTTAAACTCATGTCAAGACCAACCTAGGCAAAATGTGGAAACCCAGTCTCAAAAAAGAGGTGATGGGCTGGGTGCAATGACACACACCTCTAATCCCAGCAACTTGGGAAACTGAGGCAGGAGTTTCCTTCCACCTCAGGTTTGAGGCCAGCCTCAGCAATTTAGTGAGACCCTATCTTAAAATAAAAAATAAAAAGGACTGACTGGGGACTTAGCTCTGTGGTAAAGTACCCTGGTATTTAAAAAAAGGAAATAGGAAAGACATTTATGGGAATAAGATTATGTCTGCTATGCATTACTGAAGTTAAGAAATAATCTTTCAGACTTCTTTCATCTTAGTATACTTTTTGTGATATTTTGGTGTATCGACAATATGATATATATAAATTTATTTTAGTGCCTTAAAGTACTAGTTATGTGGATTAAAAAAACAATGCTTTTATACTCCTGTTAGCACATGTCATATGATTAAATTCCAGAGTGAAATTTAGATATAAAAGTTAATCATTTCCAGTGAAGGGAAATAATGAAATTGATGTTGAATTTGTCTAGTTTTGGGATGATCCTATCTGTGAGAACTATAAATGTTGTTTTCAGAAAGAGAAAAAGACTGTAATATTGACAGTTTTTGTGGCACTCATAGGGCATAGCATATGGTCCAATAAATATTTATTGTAAGAATACCTGGGGCTGGGGATGTAGCTCAGTGGTAGAGTGCTTGCCTGGCATGCATGAGGCCCTGGATTTGATCCTAATAAGCACCAGCAAAAGAAAAAGAATACTTGATGATTAAATAAAGTCAAATAATTCTAGTTAGATATCTGGTATTTTGATAACTTAAGCAACTATACTGGTATATACCAATTGATACAATTATGTTGGAAGTTCACTTTTAGTGTGTTTTTGTTTTAGTTTTAGTTTTTGGTACTGGTGATGAAACTCGGGGCCTTGTACTTGCTAGGTGAGCCCTGTATCTCCGGCCCTAATATTGTTAAATCTCATTCAAGGAAGATTTGTTTCAGAAGGGTGCTGACATATGAGACTATTTCAGAGCATAAAACAACATTATACTGTAGAGAGGCTTGAAAATATTTTAGGTATCCTCTGGGTTTGGTTAAAAAGCTCATCATTTCTTCAAAGACACAGATTAAACTACTCTGCCTCAAATAGATAACTGGACAGTTTTCACTAATACTGAGTACAGAGTTATTTATATCATATAAATTGGGCTTAATTTTTTATTGCTTTATGTTTTCTTTAAAAATGATTGCCTGGTAAATGATTGTCACTGATGAGTTACATTCATGGGAGAATTCTTGGGGGAAAGTGATCAAAAGTTGTGCTGCCAGGAAGATTGAGATTTTTTTAAGGCACTATGGAAATGCATTGTTGTGATTAAAATGAAAGCCCAAATTCTTAAGGGGAAAAGCTGCTAAATACAAGCAGTCATGGTATGTAGAATCTAGTAAACACCATGCTAACTAATAACATCCAGATGTTATTATCTCTTCATTTGTTGTACCAGCCAATTTGGGGCAGAAATTGGAATATTTACAACAGTTGAATTTCTGCTACAGTTGAAATGCCACAAAACAACAAAACTTTTCACTTGTATGGAATTGTTTGTTGTTTAGTAGCAAATGTGTGTTGGATAAAGTATCCAAATATAAGATTTATTTATTTTTTGGTGCTGAGAGTTGAACCCAGAGCCTTGAATGTGCTAGTAAACACTTGCTACATCACTGAGCTACACCTGCAATCCTGAATATGACACTTTTATGTGGCATGAATTCATATATGTGTGTGTGTGTGTGTGTGTGTGTGTGTGTGTATATCTTGTGTTTCCTATCACACCGCCGTATTCGTGAGTATCTTTGAGTTGCTACTTCATGACAGATATCTTGGAGTAAAAGAACTGTTTAGAACTGTTGTGAAAAAGTGATGATTTAACATAGCCTTAGTTATGTCATGGTGTAAATTAAGCTCTTGAATGAAAGTACCTAGATTTTCCAGATGCTCAGGCATGAATTTAGCTCAGAATAAATTGTTCTGCTGCGTTAGAGACATCGTTCAAACCTGCATGCATCTGCCAACTGCATGTGGTTGTCACAGTGAGACAAATTGATCTGTCATTTTCTCTAGTGTGTCCCTGTTGCTTGCCATATTGTAACCTATAGGACATCTCTTGGGCAGCTTGTGTGCCCTGATTCCACTTCAAAAGTCTTGTAAAGATGCCAGGGAACATCAAGTTGAATTTTTAAAAGCCAATTTAAATATTTAAACGTACAATGAACTTCAGTAAAATTTCTCCCATATCTAACAAACTGCTTGCTGGAGGTGAGATGGACTTTTGAATTTATGGTTCCCTACGTATTTGTTGTGACCTTATATTGACAAGTTATTGATCTCTCTGTGCCTCCTTTCTGTATTAGGAAAGTGAGGATTGTCAAAGTAATTGTTTTGTAAAGGAGCTGTTGTATGAATTTAGATAATTTTATATGTGTATATGTGTGCATATACATATATATTTAAATAAAGTGCATAGAAGACTGCTTGACACTTAATAAACATTAGCTGCCACTGTCATCTTCCTACCATAATTTGAGTAATAATTGGGTAATTATTCTGAAGCTAGAGAGCTCTTTGTAGGAAGATTGCATCTCTCTGAAGGATGTGGTTAACTCCAATTTTAATATAGGAGTTTACCATATTGCCTTGTGAAATCTACCTTTCAATTTATTTACAGCTAATATTATATAACCACTGCAARGGGATGAAGAAACTCACTAAGTAAAAGAAGCAAGGGACCAATAATGTGTAAATTCTGCCATTTGTAAAAATTTCTTGGTACATGTATAAAATATCTGAAAGGCTGAATAAGAAACAGTGTGCAGTATTTTCATTTGTTATTGGGAAGGGGAATTGGTTGGATGGAAATAAGGGTGGGAGACTTTATTGTATTCTCTTTTATACTCCTTGGTTACTGAACCATGTAAATGTATTTCCTAATTACTAAAAGAAGAAAACAAAATTAAAAAGTAATATAGCTGTTTTGAAATTTAGATGAATTCTTATGGATAAACATTTCTTTTTGCCTGTATTCAAATTTAAGAGGACTTTTAAATTTTTTGGTTACATTTTTTTTTTCTTTCTGTTTGTGGTGCTAGGGATCAAACCTAGTATATCTTCTGTATGCTAGGCAGGCTCTCTACCACTGAGTTATATTCCCAGTGCCTATTGGTTTTTTTAAGTCTACTTTCCAAAAAACTAAGAGTGATATTTTGTCGTCTTTCAGGGATTTGAGCCATAATCGGTTATCTGACTGGAACATCAGCTTGGAATCACAAACTTTACAGGAAGTGTAAGTTTTTTTTAATTTAATGTTAAATTCTTTGAAGGGATATAATAAAATTTGAATTTGGAATATTTAATCCAGTGATACTTCCAAAAAATTGAATGAAAAAAAATTTTTTAATTAAAAGAAATTGTTAGAAAACCTAAACTGTTGTATTTGACTTTGTTATTATCACACTCTCTGGGCATTGAGTTGGTGATTTCGAGTTGCAAATTGTATAGAAGTATTATTCTACTTCCCTGGGGCCCAAAGCAAGATTTTTCTCCTCTTCAGTGTAAATTTTATCTTTTTTCTTTTTGGCTGAGAGTTTAGCCAGTGAAACTGTGAAGTTTTTTTTTCTTTTTTTCTTTATATTTTAGCTGTAGTTGGACACAATACCTTTATTTTACTTATTTATTTTTATATGGTGCTAAGGATTGACCCTAGGGCCCTGCGTGTGCTATGCGTGTGGTCTACCGCTAAGCCACAACCCCAGCCCCTGTTATGTGAAGTTTTATAATATCTCAATATATCATGTGAGATGGAAGCAGCAGGTAGAGGATTTGGGGTATTATTTGAGAATATAGTGGTTGATATCATTTGATTTTCCTTTTTTTTTTTTGTGGTGCTGGGGATTGAACCAAGGGCTTTGTGCATGCTAGGCTAGTGCTCTACCACTGAGCTGTACCCTAGCCCTTAATTTTCTTCTTAACTAAAGTTTTTCCTTTGATGAAATGTATCATTTTGGGATTTTTTWAAAAAATGTGAGTACTGGTTATTGCATTTTGATGTTCCCAGGGGTCAACTATTGAGGTATGTGGGCCTGTTCACCCCTGTGTTATATACTAAGCTAAATACCCTCAGATACCCTTAGTTCTGTTTCTTTTTTGTTTTTTGGTACCAGGGATTAAACCCAGGGGTGCTTAACTGAGTCACATCCCCAGCCCTTTTTATGTTTTATTTTGAGACAAGGTCTCACTAAGTTGCTTAGGACCTTGCTAAATTGATGAGGCTGGTTTTGAACTCATGACCCTCCTGCCTCAGCCTTGAGTCACTGGGATTATAGGTGTGCACCTCCACACGTGGCCTTAACTTTGTTTTTTGTCTTTAAATTCTTCATACTCTAGTGTCCCATGCCAGAGCAAACTGTGACCCTGAATCATTTCCTGGCCTTTGTGTCTATAGGCTGCTGGCACTGAAGCAGATTGTATTGTGGGGGAAAATGTTTCTTCATAGACAGGGCTAACTTCTTTATGCTCTGGTTTTTATTTTTATTTTTTTTTCTCCCCTTGGTTCTWGGATTTGAACAAGGGGCAATCAACCACTGAGCCACATCCCGGCCCTATTTTGTATTATATTTAGAGCTAGGGTCTCACTGAGTTGTTTAGCGCCTTGCCATTGCTGAGGCTGGCTTTGAACTCATGGTCCTCCTTTCTCAGCCTCCYGAGCTGCTGGGATTACAAGCTTGTGCCACTTCGCTCGGCCATGAATTGTTTTTCCTGCATTGTTTTCTCCCTTGTCCCAAATATGCTGTTTCTAATTTGTTGTGATATTGAGTAAACATTTGACAAGTTTGTTAACTGAAAATATGCATTGAGGAAAGCCAGGAATCACTTTATTGGGAAGTGCATGAGCTTTATGCATGTATTTTATAACTTCATTTGGTTTCTTGTTTACTTGTGATTTCTTTTCTATATTCTATATTGTTGAGGTTGTTCAGTGATTGAAAACCAGGTTAATGAAATCTGATTGTATTAAATTTGTTCCTAAAACATTTGAGACAATCAGTTGAAAGAGCTGCTGGGAATGATGTTACATGTCATGTCATGTAAAATTAGTCATAGGTTCCATCATTGGTTGGACAAATTAATTTCATCTGTGGTCCTAAGCAATACTCCTTAACTTGAATAGCCTTAAATTTTGACTGTCATAAATGCAAAGAACTTTGCTGGTACTGAAAATGTTTAATGTGCAAAAAATTTTTCCCAGCCTTTCTTACATTGGTACCAATACTAAATCAACACTATGAAAAAAGTCCCTGCCCCTGCCATGTTGGGTATTGAATCCAGGGTCTAGCACATACTGTGCAAGTGGTCTACTTTTGAGCTATATCTCTAGCCCTGAAAAAAAGCATTTCTTATTAAAATCTTTAATTTCTCAACAAATAGATTTTATCTTAGTCTAATTCATTATAAGTTATAGGCTTTTTCAAATTTGGTGTCTTTACTAATTTGTATTAGTAAAGAATTCAAGAGATAGCATTTCCCTCGTTAAACTTTGAAATCTCTCTTTCCCCTTGCTTAGGAAAATGAATTACAATGAGCTAACAGAAATCCCATATTTTGGAGAACCAACATCTAATATCACTCTACTTTCATTGTAAGTAATTAAAATTTTAAATCTTTTACTTAAATTATGAATAGTACATAGCTTTTGGGGGGTGGATCATTGGCAGTAACTTCAATGTAATTTTTGTTTTGTAGAGTTCATAATTTAATCCCAGAAATAAATGCAGAGGCTCTCCAGTTTTACCCTGCTCTTGAGAGTTTAGACCTCAGCTCCAATATAATATCAGAAATCAAGGCATCTTCATTTCCTCGAATGCAACTTAAATACYTGTAAGTAAAATAGAATTTAAATTAGATTTGCCGTAGATTGTATTTAAGAAAAATTTTTATTTTTTAGTTGTAGTTGGACACAATACCTTTTTAAAATTTATTTATTTTTATGTGGTGCTGAGGATTGRACCCAGGGCCTTGTACATGAGCGCTCTACTGCTAAGCCACAACGCCAGTCCCTTAGATTGCATTTTAACTGTTTATWGGTATCTATCTTCCTTAAATGTCTGTTATTTATTGTAATTTTCTATTTTAATTTTGTGACAGGGTCTCACTAAGGGGCTGAGGCTATCCTTTGAACTTGTAATCTTCCTGCCTCAGACTCTGGAGTCACTAGTATTACAGGGACGTGCTACTGGCTTATTATTTTGGTATATGTGAAACAAAGCTCACTTTGGGTGTTTGGGGTTGTTGGTGTTGTCACCCCCCCACACCCCCACCCCAGACAAAGAGACACTGTGGTCAGAAAATATTGGTAGGCATCCAGGGTAATTTTTGAGATATATACTTCTTGAATTTTTTTTTAAGTCAATAGTTTTGTAAAAGGTAAATAGGAAGTAGTTTGTTTAACAGCTTACCCTATATAATGATGATTGTATATATATCATTGATTTCATTTACAAAGCATATTCACACACACTGCTTCATGCCAACCTAAATGAAGTAGGAGTGATTTGTGTGTATGTATGTATTGCTGGTGTTGTAACCCAGGGTCTTGCACATGCTAGGCAGGTGCTCTGCCACTGAACTACACCCCAACCCTGTCATAATAATTTTGTAGATAAAGAATAAAGCATTTAATTGATTTGTAAAGTTTGTATATAATTAAATGATACAGCTGGACTCAGTCGTAGTCTTTGGTCAGCTTTCCAGTGGTAGAATTTTTATTTTAGTTAATTTTTTTATTTTGCTGTTGTCTTGCTCATTTTAGGAATTTGAGTAATAATAGGATAACTACTTTGGAGGCTGGTTGCTTTGATAATTTATCCAGTTCCTTATTAGTGGTAAAGTTGAACCGGAACCGACTTAGTATGATTCCACCTAAGATCTTCAAACTACCTCACCTTCAATTCCTGTGAGTAACTAAGTGGATCGATTGTTAGAAATTTTTTCCTAGTGTTTTTTCTTTTTTGACTATTGTTAGAGCAATTCAGCAAACCAATTTTTCTAACTGTAAAACTTTTTTTTTATTTAAGGGAACTTAAAAGAAACAGGATTAAAATTGTGGAAGGTCTTACATTCCAAGGGCTCGACTCCTTAAGATCTTTGAAAATGCAGCGGAATGGAATTAGCAAACTTAAGGATGGAGCATTTTTTGGCTTGAATAATATGGAAGAATTGTAAGTACTGAGAATTAGTATAGAGGATTTTAAGGAAAGGAGTCTTTCTGGGACTTTTTTGTACCAAATGGTTAAGATAGTTGTTTTGGGCTGGGGATGTGACTCAGTGGTCAAGGGCCCCTGAGTTCAATCCTCAGTACCAATAAATAAATAAATAAATAAACAAACAAATAAAGTTGCTTTAATTATACAGATTATACAGTAATTAGTAATTTCTCAAATTAGTAATTTCTCAGTTCTTTGATGAAATAAGTATACTTAAAGCTCTGTATGTCTGTGTGTTGGGGATTGAACCCAGGGTCTCACACATGCTAAATACACACTTAACCACTGAGCTGCACCCTCAGCTTTCACACAAAGCTTTTTATTGGGAGGTGGGCAGGGATTGAACTTGGGGGCACTCAACCACTTAGCCACATCCCCAGCCCTATTTTGTATTTTATTTAGAGATACGATATTACTGAGTTGCTTAGCCGAGGCTGGCTTTGAACTTGCAAATCTCCTSCCTCAGCCTCCTGAGTGCACCACTGTGCCCAGCCACACAAAGCTTTTAAGTTTTGTAGGCTTACTGGCATTTTTGTCATCATTCTTACAAACTTCTTATGTAAAAAGTTTGTATTCCCAAATTCTTTGAGGAAAATTATCAGAATTCATCTGTGAAAGCACGATCAAGGCTTGCCCTAGGAGAAAATGCCCGTTTATGAGGCAGCTCTGCAAATTTTAGAGTAGGGGGTGGTCTGACTGTTGAAACAGTTTAACAATTTAATGGTTTTGGCAGCTGGCATGGGGTGCTTTCTGATTGGTGGGTAAGGATCATGTGAATCAGCAGGACTCACCATTGGACGGCTCTTCTCGGGGATGGGGAGGTTAGTTTTTGGAGCCCGGGCGACTCCCAACAATCTGGAATACACTTAGCTTGTTGGTTTTGTAGATTTGATATTTTAGACAATCTTAATATGTTCTAGCACTGAATCTTAAGATAATATTTATTTAATAGGATTTATTGTATCACTTGGGTTGAGCAAGGTATATGTTTTTCTGAGAAAGACTTATTGAAGATTTAAAACTATACTTCTATTGACATGCTTTGTTTTGAAATATTCTCTTTTCTCTAATTCTACAGAGAACTAGAACACAATAATCTTACACGAGTGAACAAGGGGTGGTTGTATGGCTTACGAATGTTACAGCAGCTGTATGTGAGCCAGAATGCTATTGAAAGAATCAGCCCTGATGCATGGGAGTTCTGCCAAAGACTATCTGAACTGTAAGTGTTGGATGGTATTTTTTTGGAGGCTGTGAGACTAGAATAGTTGGAATAAATCATTTCCATGGCCAGTAATGAGATCTAACTAACATTCTTTCCTAGAAGTTTGTTGAAAACTCTAAATTTACCATGTAAATATAGTAAGAATTTGTAAGTTGAACCAAAATACAATGAATTCCTTTCCTTCTATGTTTCCTGTTTTTAGTGATTTGTCTTATAATCAGCTGACTCGCCTGGATGAATCTGCCTTTGTGGGTCTGAGTTTACTGGAGAGATTGAATTTAGGAGATAACAGAGTCACTCACATTGCTGATGGTGTGTTTAGGTTTCTTTCCAATCTTCAGACACTGTAAGTTTATCCATTCTGATTTAAAATGAAATAAAGCAAGTTAATTCAGTCCACTAATCAGGGGATCTATTTATGTATGTTATATTTTTATATTTTGTCCTTCCCTCAGCCCATGATAGGAATAATAATCTTATTTGTCTTGGTATCCATAGATAAAACTTTTCCTATCATGAGAAGTTCATTTTATATTTTAATTCTGAGTTAACACATAAATAGCAAAGCCTGTCTTATAGAACCAGTTGCTGTGTTATAAAACATAGTTGTTGGGATCAAGAATGCAGTCATTTTCTTGTTTCTCTGACTTTGGCTGTATATCAGTTCTCATTCTGAGAAATGCAGGATGTATAGTGGGAGCAGTTCTTTCTGTTCTGTTACTAGTTTGCTGCATGACTTTCGGCAGAAGAAACTAACAATTATTATCTGTAAGTACCAGGAACTTTCAGATACTAGGTTGTTTCTGTTCTTTTCCATATTAGGTGGCTGAGGACTGAGAGATGAAAATGATTTGTTTAAAGTCATAATTTATAAATGTTTGGATCAGGATTRGAACCCAGGTCTATTTGACATGAAAGCTCATATATTTTATTATGAAATGAACAAAATCACTTAGCTTTTCCTGGGTATGTTTTTGTTTGTTTCTTCATATATGAAAGAAGAATTTAGAATTAAGTGGTTGCTAGAGGCAGTTTCAACCTGAAAATCCTGTGGTTCTGTAAGTTAAATGATTTGCCTTCATGGAATATAATTTTATTGAATGAAGAGGTATTTTAATGAAATATAGCATTCTCAAACATACAGTAGAATAAGAGAAAACAGAGTAATTAGTAGAATTTATAGATTAAGAAAAAAATTTTTTTAGGGGATATGGGGATTGAATTCAGGGCCTCTCACATGCTAGGCAAACACTCTACCACTGAGCTACATCCCCAGGTCTTTGTCTTGCATTTTGAGACAGAGGTCTCAATAAGTTGCCCAGCTGGCTTCCCACTTAACGATCCTCCTCCCTCAGCCTCACAAGTAGCTGGGATTACAGGTGTGGGCCTCCACACTCTACAGAATTTGTAGATTGTTAATAGTTTTTGAATAGGGGACTTTATGGTCATTAGTTTCACCATTGAGGATTTCAGAAAAGAAGTAGACTCACATCTGTGAGACCTAGCCATCAATGAGAAGGAAACATGATAATTTTGTGAAGATGTTTGTATACATGCACAGGTGTGTATGTGTGTATATATACATATCAATATGTATATATAGCAAAAGCGATTAAAGATAARTTTTTTTTT